CGACCCTGCCCGTGAGCAATCTCCCAACTCATCTCTGTTACCTAACATTGAAAAGAAAATTCCAAAAGAATTTCGCCTTAACGGACGCAAATCGCATTTGCAATGTGTGGCCGAACCGCGTGGTGAGTGACGTTAATTACTGGTAATTGCATGTTAACCGGCTATTGAGAAAAGATAATCTCGACGAAACATTATGGTTATGGTTGCCTTCGCAGCGTCCTAGAAGGTCCTGTGCTCAGTCGAGCTTGCGAGTATCGAGATGCTTCTCAAAAACGCCGACAGGTGGCGTGGCAGTCTGAGAAAACCGCGGGAATGACGTATCGACCTTCGTTCAACGTTTCACCGGGAGGTGTCGTGGCGTGCCTCGTCTCTGGCGCGCATTTTAAAACCGCACCGGAAAGAGTGCTCCAAGCAATGATCTGGAAGATGATTCCATCCTGGCACAAAGTAAATTCCACAACTTTTTACCCTGTATTTCTTTAAATGGGTACATGCTCTTACAGTAAAATGGACAGTTTTTTTATTTCCGCTATTGAACAAAAAGGAAACTCTTAATTATGAATTTGTAATCTACATACGTATGTTCCGCATCAGAAATGGTAAAGAATTTAATTTTTCCGAGGCAGATTAACTGTTAATTAAAAAAATTAATTCCACAAATATTCCCCTCGGTTAGGTGACAATGTTAGTCTCAAAAGTTGTACCGAAGAACAAAAATTTGAAGTAGAAAATTCACTCTATTCATTAAATACTCAAGCACGTGATTAATTGCATACCGTTCAGGGACAGAAAAAGCTCTGACCTCATTTTAGTTTAAAAAGCAGTTTTATGTGATGCACTCTGTACGTTTTTAAATCTATTACTCTTTTCGCGCCATAACAAGTACTCGATATTTCGCAATTGCACTAGAGAAATTCTCACGTGTTTTACAATTTGGAGACTTGTGCTAATAGGGTTTTTCTTTTAGGGTGACATCGGAGCGCTCAAACTGTCGACGCATAATTGTCGATTGGAAACTGCGACCACCACGAAGGTTTTCAGTCCAGCTTTAAAGAACGGCAATCGCTGCGTCGTCGTTTGTAGCGGTTATTATGAATGGAAGACCACGGTTTTGCAGGGGAAGAAACAGGCTTCTAAGCAACCCTATTTCATTTATGCACCACAACCGGAATATGTTAAAATCAATGAACCTTCCTCCTGGGCGAAGGATGAATGGTCCGAAGAAAATGGATGGCAGGGAGCAAAGCTGCTAAAACTCGCTGGCATATTCAACACTTCAACAGATGAAGATGTACATGTCGATTCATTTCAGTTTCTACATCCACTTTAGTTGCTTATGAACAAAGCCATTTTTCTTATTTCACAGGGGACAATCGTTCACAGTTGCTCGGTCTTGACCATGGAGGCGAATCATGTACTTTCCTGGATGCATTCTAGGGTACCCGCCTTCCTGGAAACGGAGGAAAATGTTAATGTACGTTGACTTATTGGAAGAAATTGTCATTGCATTGTTTTAAATACTGAAAGAGTATAGCTAAAAATATTAGAATACTTTAACGGTTTTATTTAGAATCTTCAGATGCCATGTACGTTAATTTTATTATTCAAACATAAGAGTGTTGGCAATGTTGCATTTGTTAAAAGTGAGAAAGGTATCATTCTCAGTTGTTATATGTGTGTACATATATATAATTTTAAATCAACTTTTATAGGCTTGGTTGGATTTTGAAAATGTCTCCTTAAATGAAGCCTTGGCTCAACTACATAGTCCTTCAAAGAAGTCTTTGCAATGGCATCCAGTTGGAAGAGCTGTGGGCAATTCTCGATGTAATGAAGCCGACTGCATCAAGCCCATCAATCTTAAGAAAAGCAATCATGTTCGGTATGAAGCAGCTTTTGCTATAGTAGTCAGTCATAAAACTTTGATAAAACCTTTCTTATAATATTTTTTTAAGATATTTGAATGTAATAGTATTATTTGGGAGGTACACGCATGTGATAGAAATAATTTAGTTGGTCCCTACGCTATGTCGGCTGTGGAAGGGATACTTCTAATCACATGATCTAGGCGACCGAGCTATTGATTCAATAATTCCATTATGTGCAGAGAGAAGAGCGGTCCCACCGGTCTTATGGCTTCTTGGCTGAAAAAAGAACCTACGGGGTCAGACAAGAAGCAGTCCACTCTTCGTACCAGAAACTTTGATGAGAAGTCCGAAAGAAATACAAAAAGAATCAAGACTGAGTAGGTTTCTAATTTACTCAAGTTTTTACTTCATATACCTCCATTAAAGTACAATACGCTAAAATACTCCAAATCAATTGACAAAACCTCTTCTGGGTGAGAGAAGAGAACAATATAGTTGTTTAATTTATTTATAATATACAATTTCTTTGTATTTTCATATCAAAATAAATATAATTAAATAGTAACCATTATTTTATCAACGTATAATTCATTATAAGACAATAATTTTTCAAGAGCATTAAGCTAACCTAACTTCTGATGTAATGCCAGGACGATAATTAAAATTGGGAAGTCACCAATTTTTTTACAATTAAGCTCAATTATCTTCATTGAACAAATACATTCATGATCAAATTTACTGCCATTGAATCTCTGGCAATTTAAAAGAAATTTGTTCTAACGAATCTTAAATAACTATTCCCTGCATATCACCTGTTTCAACAAAATTCTTATCAATGGCCACTACTCCAATTTCTATGAAAATTAGCCTTTTAATTCTTTCCTCTTTACTCCAAATTGGAATTCGGAGTAAAGAACACAACAAATGGATTTGTAACATCAAATTAGTGCTTCAATTTATTCTCTCAAAAATAAACTATTCCAGATAACTCATCATCAATCTACGATGAACAAGAATCTACCGAAAAATCACTCTGATTCCAAGATAAGCTTTTAACAATTATCGCACCACTATTCTTGTCCTGTATAATTCGCGCATGTATTCCCATTTCCAATATCAACATACGCGCATAAACATGTGTACCTTCTACCATGGTTACAAGGTCACACATAGTAGCACAGCTAGCGCGCATCCCCCATATCTCGAAATCAAAAAGTGAAAGCATATCTGCAAAGGCGTAAACGAATAAAAAGGCCCTCGAAAACCATTGCGAAGCGTGTCGCATTGCTCCATCCTGATTTGCGAGCGCGTTGGCGCTTCGGAAGTATGGGCAGTTCGCGCCGTCTCCGCAAGATGGCGAGAGCGCGGCGGCGCCTCGGTCGCGTCTGGGGCCGAGGAGAGAGAGAGGAAGTAGGCGGCCCGCGGAGGAGGGAGCGAGAATGCCGCGAAAGAGAGAGGCGCAGACCGTTCAGCGTGGAATCGGAGCGAGAGAAGAGACTTGCGGCGGCGTTTCGTGCGAGTTAGTGGCGACGTTGTGCATTGGTTTAGTGCATCGTCGGTCGGGACTGTGCGTATCGCAAGCGTATCGCGAGAACCGGAGCGTCACGCATGGTTCCCTGGAGCTAGTTCCCTCGGCGGTAGGAAGGAGGAGGTGGGGCCGCCTGAAGTCGCCAAGGCCGTCGCGGTCGTTCTTCCCCAGGTTGTTCCCCAGGAGGCAGGGTCTGCGGACGTGGGGACGGCCAGGATGGCCACCGAGACGCGGGAGCCTTCCGTGAGCAACGTGGAGACCGAGTACCACGAGATCACCTCCAAGGACGCCTGGGCTGTACTCTACCAGGTAACTACCTGATCACCAAATATCTTGGCTAGCTCCTTTATCCTTTATCCTTTATCCTTTGGCAGCGTCGACGACCCTGTCTCTCCAGGATCTCCTCTACAGACTACTCTTCGACAGATTGCTACCTTATTCAAATTTAAGTTAACCCTCTGCGCATGAAATCCTCCGAGTACCTTAAATGAGATCGCTGCATCGATGGACTGTGTATGCTTTCAAATGGTTCCTTAACAACCCTGATTGTGTCAGGGCTACCTGTTGGATGAGACGAGATGGCAATATATTAAGCGGAGAGGATTTAAGCCAATTTACATGGGAATATAATCTCTGATTAAGATTTGCTAAGAATCGTTGAAGCATCGTGCATGAAATTGTAGAATGAAAGATCCTCTTACTGTTCTCTTTTTGTGGGCTGCGGAAGCGTGACCGTATCGATGGAAGTGACTCGATATATCCTTCAGGAAGTCAAAAAGTACATCCACTTCCACATCCGATATTTGTTGATTTTGCTAATTCCACTTACGACCCTCTCTCGTTTTAATTTAACCCCTTAAGCGGTAGTCCCAATATCTGTTTGGACATGAGTTTTAGTGCTTTAATTTAATCTACTGCCTAAAGGGTTAATTAAGCGATGCACATGTGTTGTCCTGCTTGAAAAGCAGCTTCGGTGAAGTTAAAATTATCATGGCTGAATTCACCAGTTTGAAACAATCTTATTCAACCTATTGTAATTCTATATAAATAATAATGTGTTATATGATGCTAGTAGAGTTGCACTATTAATTGGAAGCATGTGGTTCACTCTCTAATTATACAAACAGTAAAGTCATACATTTATCAGGTATATTGTAAATAACAGGAATATTAACTTTTCAATTATCTTTGAGAAAGTAGCATGTGAATCAGTGCAAAGATATTATGAGATTTTTTCAACAGACTGAAAAGTAGATTTCTAGTACATACACTATAAAGATCGTTAAGGCAGCGCGCAACTGCAAATTCCATAGAATTAATGTTTGCAGTTATAATTAATACTTTCAAAGACTTACGATCTTATGAAAGAACTCCATAATGTATCATCTTGTGTTTTTAGCACCTACGTAATGAGTGTGGCAACTACGACTACACGTGTAACGAATCGAAAAAACCACAGAACAGACATTTAAATCGGTACAGAGATGTGGCACCGTATGATCACACAAGAATTACTTTGCGAAAGGGGCCTTGCGATTATATCAATGCCAACCTTGTGCAGGTGAGATGACAAAATTGAAATGAATTTATTGATTAATAGGAGTGTGATTATATTATCGATACACATACAAATCTATTTGCAGATGGAGCGTGCTCATAGGAAATACATACTTACACAAGGCCCGTTGTCGAGCACTGCTGGTCATTTCTGGCTAATGGTGTGGGAACAGAACAGTAAAGCTGTGTTGATGTTAAATAAGGTAATCGAGAAGAACCAAGTCAAATGTCACCAGTATTGGCCTCTTGAGGGTTCGTCGGATCACACTATGATGTTCCCCGATGTAGGCCTAAAAGTGGAAAACATTAGCAAAACTGAATCGCCTCATTACACGAGGAGAACACTGAGGTAACAGGATGCACTAATAAAATTATCGCTTTGATTTATTAAGGGATCATCCTACTTTGACGACTGAAAAATTGAGTTATTTTTAACGATTTTTGTCTCAGCAAATACGTCATGTAATGAAGTAAATCTTTTTGGTGTTTATTAAGCTACTTTGAAATAATCAAAAGTTTAATAACAATTTAAACGAAATTTGTTGTTTCTTATAGCATCAATATGGCGCCTCAAAAAAGAGGTATGTCTGTGGTGCAGGTAATTTCCCTACTCCAGTTTGCCCAGAACAAAAAATTCGAAAAGATTCTTTGTCTGTACGAGTGTCACTCTCTCCTGAATGTCAACTAATAATTTTGATTGAAAAATAACAAAGTGGTTTACACAAAAGCTTTAAAAAATATACCCTGTTTCGGCTATTTTTTATGTAAATAGTATGATAAAATAAACACTGACCAGCTTTTGACTCAGGTGTTAGCCATACATGCGTAGAATAAACTCCTAATATTTCAGGTCAATCTGCCTTTTTCAGATTTTATCTGCACTGCATGGAAAAATGTTTTAAGAAAAACGCGTTTAAAGTTTTAAATACTGAAAAATCGTTAAAAAACCTTATATACTCTGTACTGACCTTGTTGCCTACTTGTATACTTCTGCTCCATACATATTGAGTACATATACTTTTGGAAAGTAAAATAAACAAATTTTCAATTTTGTTCAAAGTTATAATGTAGAATGACCCCTTATCTTAACCAGCACATATAAGAATTATAGTAAATAATCGAACGACGTTTATTTAATTAGCACTGTCATTAACACGCACTGATTTTTGTATTATCTAAGTAGAAGTGGAAGATTAGTAATCCCATGAACTGAAATTTAAACTAAAACTTTAATTTAACTCTACCATTCTTCTTCCAGACTGACAGACGTAGAATCAGGAGAAAGCAGAGAAATACTGCACTTTCATTATACAACGTGGCCAGATTTTGGAGTACCTCAAAGTCCTACGGCGTTTCTGCAGTTTTTAACAGATGTCAGACAGTCCGGTGCTCTTAACCAAGGCATCGGGCCACCTGTTGTTCATTGTTCAGCTGGAATTGGGAGATCCGGCACTTTTTGTCTGGTAGACACTTGTTTAGTTCTGGTAAGTAACATTGGAACTACTTCGTACTAACCCGTTCAAAGGGGACGAGGAGGAGGTGCATATATGACAAGTAACTAAACTAAGAAAACCTTGTACAGATCGAGGAGAATGGATTAAACTCTGTAAATGTAAGAGACGTCTTAATGGAGATGAGACAGTCGAGGATGGGTTTGATCCAGACACCCGATCAGCTTCAATTTTCTTACGCTGCCATCATCGAAGGGGCCAAACAACTACCGTCCAACAACGTGGTAACTAATACCAATTCACAGTGGTACACTGCTATTACCTAACCTTCTACGAATAAAATGTAGATTCCCATAGAGAACTGTCAAATGATTTGTATAATGCACATAAGCTGAGGATTAGGGATTACGGCTTAACGTAGATCAGTCAGTAATAGCACTGTTCTGCTGTGACTTTTAACTGACGTTAAGTCGATTACTGAGTGCTATGTCTATTACAGAACGTCGATAATAACGAAATCGTTAACAATCATTACGACGTTGTCAATAATGTCAATTCGTCGGTGGAGGAGGAGGAAGAGCCTCCACCGTTGCCTCCTCCAAGGGGAGAATCTTTAACTCGCAGTATGATGTCGGACCTGAGCCCAAGTCCTTCGAGTGAGAATGGTATATCTCTTCATAACCTTGAATAATTATCCTGAGGGTATTCATGGGTATTCACTAAGAATATCGTGGATTTTAGTGCTGGAAATCAAGTGGAAATCAGCTGGATATCGCAAGCAGAAATCACTAGAAATCGTTGAACATCACCAAAACATTGCCACAATTGCGAAGTAGTATAAGGAGATACAACGCCATGTATCGAAATCGTTTCCACTTTAGGGGTCCAAGATCTTCAGATTTTTCCAATCTAGTGCTGAGAGCGCTCTTCGATGAAATTTTGCAATTAAAAATTATCGTCCGCTAGTCTCTATCGCGTTTAAAACATTACATTCCGTACATAATGCGTAATTATCGTTTCGCTTTGCGTACCTGAATTGCAAAATTAAAAGCATTTTAGGTCATTTACGTCCATAGGAAATAATTTGGTCACGTAAGATTGGAGTTCCCTCATTTTCCGCAAGTAGCGCTAGCATCGTTAGATCAGCGAAAATCTGAGATCATGGGTTCCGATTTTGAGGCCACTTTCTGTGGAACCGACCATTGGCGTTATGTCTCCTTATGCTACTTCATGATTGCCACAATTTTAAGGCCGACTGTCGCTTGTTACTGAATCTTATTGTTCTTTGTCACATGAAATCAAAGGCAGTCGGTTCTCAAAGAAGGAAATCGTGTTCACCGATTTCCGAGTGAATAACCCCCTGAATTGTCCTTACATCTTATTCCCGAAGCGTGGGAAATTGTTAATTTAAATTTTAAACCATTACAGTGGAAGATGCGAATGGACCACCGGACAAGCCTTTGCCTAGGGAACCCCCGAATTACACGGAGCCATGTACAAGTCCACCTCCTACGAACTCCACATCTATTGCGAACAATATACACGAAGAGAATTCGGACAATGTAGCTGTACCTGAAGAGACCAACAGCGACGGAGAGCGCTCTTATCAGGCCACGAGTTACTCATCCAATACAAATTCGTAAGTACACTTAACGTTACCTGAAATCAATTTGAATTTCTACCAGCCGCTTCCAAGTAACTGAAAAAAGAAGTTACACATTGACGCGTTTCGTTCTTTTCTTTTATCAAATAGGAAAAACGAGTTACGTAAGCGAATTCAGGAGAAGAAGGACCGACTGGCCGCGCAGGTTAGGGAGATGAAGAGACGGCAAAAGGAGACGGAAGAATGGCAGAAGCTCAAGAGGTCATTATTTACGCCTCTTACAATAGGCATAGGAGCCGCCGTCGTTGGCGGCGGCGTCTTAGCGCTTTGCGGTTACCTGTATTTGCGCGGCTAGGGACTCGAGAGGATCCTTTTCTCGTTCCCGCTGTCTTCGATTTTCCGGACACTCTTATCGAGGGGGCTGGCGAGAACCTCGGCCTTTAGGGAACAGGTTGCTCGCCCGGCATTCGCTCTCGAAGCGGGAAACGGACGTGGAGCGCGGGTCCGCCACTTTAGAGAACGGTTCCCCGTTTTCCGGAAAAATGGGAAGCCACGAGAGGGCCGAAAGCCCGAGGAATTGGAGAACGAACGTCGAGAGCAACGACGCCCTCGGATGATACTCTCGCCAGAGTAACAGGGAACAGTTCCGCCTGGAAAACAGGATTTTCTATTTTATTTCCAAGAGATAACGAGGAATTTGTAAAGAAAAGCAAAAATTGACGAGCGGGGGTCTCACTCAAGAATTATATATTTTTTTTCTCTTTTGTCAGACGGATCAAAGGTCCAGTAGAAGTAGGCGAAGGACGAAATAGTTACTCCATAATCAAGACGTTTCGAAGCCGTTTAAAAACTTGCGTATATCTTTATCTCTTTTTTTTTTTTGTTATTTTTTTCCCCTTTATGCCACCATCACGGAGAAGTGGTGACACCAGCTCGCTCGACTTTCATCTTTTTTTTGGTTTTTGCGAAGGAAAGAGGTACCTCCGATTTATTTCATGGAAAACCGTGAATGAGTAACACTAGCTTCTCTCCTGTATTTTACCCAAAGTCGAGACCACGAAACGATGAGATAGGTCGAGGACGGTTCGCGGATTCCACGAAGGAAGCTCCTCCAAAACGGAGAGCCCGGCCCGTTCCCGGTTGCTTAAAAAAAAAAAAAAAAAAAAAAACAGAAAAACCGGGGGAATCGGAAGGCCGAGGAGAGGCGTCCGGGCCAAAAGAACGGCCACGAGGGCCGCGTGCATATTTCAACGGTGGTTCGCTCGAGCGAAACTCGGCGAAACTCGGAGCGAGCCTTGGGGGATCCCGGAGAGAGAACTCGTTTGGTTTCCATTATTTCTTTCTTTCTCTTATTTCCTTCCCCAAGGACCTCGGACCTAGCCGAGAGAAATGTCGAACGAGTGCCGGTGACGTCGTTTTTCCTCCTCGCGAGGTGGCGGGAAAGCGCGACGACGAATTGGGGGGGAAAGAGGGCTAAGCGAGGCTAAGGGAGGAAAACCGAGTAAGAAAGAAAACGAGAGGAATTTTCGATGAGGGAGAAAAAGCGTGTGAGAAGGAAAACGAGAAACGATAAGGGGAAGAAAGTATAGGGTAAGAGCGCGCGTCGCCGCGAGTAATAATGTTCAGGGTAACAAAAGCATTGACTTTAGGCTTTTACGAAATTATCTAAACTGACTTCCTTAGGGTAGTAGGTATACTCGTGTTAGGTCTAGATCCATTTAGCGTACGTAAATGTTTTCGAATAATTGATATATATATATATATATATACATATATATGTCATATATACGTATATATATTTTATATACATATGTATGTATTATATATGTATTATATTCATACGTGCGCAATTACGGTCCTGAGAGACTCCGGGAAAGGAGCCCCCGAGCGCCCCTAGGGGCTGTCGAGAGAGTTTTTATACGAGACGGAAGGGTACGCTTTCGTCGGTCCTCGGTGCACGGGGACTCTTTTTTTTATATATATATATATATATAATAATAAAACACCTTCGTGATTCCACAATATCGAGGGTGTGAGGTTTGTTTGTTTTTTTTTGTTTTCTTTTTCGTTTTCATTTTCAACGGAGGAAAAAGGGGGAACCAAAAACGTCGGCTTCGAGCGCACGGTCATGCCGTTCCTTAAGCGGGGACCCTCTTCGGGGTCCTCGAGACGTATACTTAAAGGATGAAAAACCGGTCGTTTGTCAGGGTTTCCGATGAGGGGGAAAAAGAAAAATTTTCCTTATTCGAGGGGGGAGGGCGAAAGCCTACTCGGTGGATCACGGGGACGGCGAAAATGTTCCAGCTGATACATCGATTTATCGGCAGTATTAACAGAGGAGAAGGGCCCGTTTCGCTTGTTAACGGTTGGAACGATTTTGCTGACCCTCCGCTAAGAAACTTTGTATCTTTTATTTTATTTTTCTTTTTTTTCTGTTTTGCTTCTCCACGCGACCATTCTTTTTTTTTTTCGGTCAGTATTGTTCTCTTGATTTTAAGGACTGGCGGAAGAACCTATTTTGAGCTTTTAAATCCTTCCGTTCGCGTACACATGCATTTCGAGTATCGGAGCGATTTAGAAGGAAGGATTACTGGTTGTTAACGAGCTATTTTCTGTTTTTCCAATTGACCGATTGTTAAGATAGCATCCTTTGCCTCCGTTTTTCTCAGTGAGTCCGATGTAGTTGACGTAGATGTTCGTGTAATCGAAACGTAAGGTGTAGCTCCCCTCCCCCCTGCACCCCCTTTTCCTGAAAATGTCCACGAGCGAATGTCAAAAGTACGGTCAACCGGTAGAATATTCAATTAACTGTCTATTGTTTAATGATAACGCCGAGCTATAGCACTTACAGATTAGTAGGTACTCGTGATTGATCGTAAATTAACTTTGGATGAAAATCTCGCCAAGCGCGCATTTTCTACTCGCCTATGATAATTGAAATATTGTTAATTGTCAAATCGATCCAAAAGTTGTTGCATGTCATTTCGAGGAGCCTTTGTGCGAGAGATTTTTCTGTACACTTTGCGGTATTTATATAATTTTTTTTTTTTTTTTTTAATACTACGATACGTGGGGGAGAAAAATATCTCGTGTCAAGGGTCCGGAATAGAATTTATATTCGAGACATATTTTTTTTTCTTTTTTTATACGCCATATATAACATTTAAACGGGAAAGTTCATCTGTTCGGGACTAGGTGTATTTTCAGTCTTATCGGATGATATGTAGAATGTAAAATATACGGTAAATGATCTGAATGTAAAGGACGATCGCTATCACTCTTGGCCGCAGTTTTGACCGATGCTCGGATTCGCTTAAATATATTTTTTAATTAATCTACGGTCGAGTATGTATACACGTCCGCGAGACATTCCTCCCAACGAATGTACGCGTTTTTGATATGATTCGGTCGGCTGACATTTCCGCGTAGCCAGCCAGTTTTCAAGTAAACGAAAGATAGAAAGAAAAAAAAAAAAGATAATACTAAGAGAGGGAGAAATATCTCGAGCTGTAAAACGCGACTGACTGTTTTTTTTTTCTAACGCCAGCTTTCCTCTCGGAGGGTCTCTCTCGCGATCGCCACGAGGAGAACGATCGGATGGGGAAATCGAGGAAAATTTGCAGCAAATTCGTGAAAGGGGACCGTAAGGAAAATCGAGGAAAATTTGCGGCAAAGCCGCGAAAGGGGACCGTAAGGAAAATCGAGAAATTTTGCGGCAAATTTGTGAAAATTGAAAAATTTTCCAACAAAGTCGTGAAAGGGGACGAAAGGAAAATCGATGAAAATTTGCGGTAAATGAGTGAAAGGGGATGAAAGAGAAATCGATTCCAAATCCGATTAAGCTCCGCGTCGATGTTTTTCTTTTTCCCGATCGGGAGATCACCCTCGCCACCCGGGACTCCCATTTTCTCGGCGCTTAAGTAAAATCCCTTTTCTACGCTGAGAATGTACAGAGAGAGTCAGATAAACTGGGACAGAGCCAGGTAGAAGGTAGAAAATAATAGAAGAAGTTGAATGATTTAATAATTATTCCTTTTTTTATATATATATAAAACTATCATTTTTTTCTTTTTTCATAATTTCTTTCACGCTGTATCAATTTTCTATATTTTATCATTTCGTTTCACTGTTGAGAAATTCATTAGAATTAATGTTAAAAATCTACACGCGAGCATTAATCATCCAGATAATTCTATACTACTAAGACATGAATATATCGCTGTTAATGTATCTAAGTATATTTTCTAATTAATATTTTCACATGGAAATACCGAGAATAATCGATTTATCCAAAAGATATTATATAATATCATTGGAGAAGTTACGAGTTTGTTTCGCAAGCGCATCGGTGCACCTGCTGATGAATTAAGAATCGATGTTCGATTATTAAATTATTCAAAATTTTGTCCTCTTATTTCTTTCTATTTTCAGCCAAAAGGGAGACGGAGCTCGTTCCAGTTACCTGAGTCGCCCTGTATATGTTAAGGTGATATGAAAGTAGCGTCAGAGTCTTGTTCATGAAACTTTTCTTCAAATTGGATGCACCGAATCGATTCAAACTTAACAATATAAATATGAAGGATATAAGAAAGGTCCTGAAACTCACGAAATTTCAATTTTTGTTTAATTTGTTCATAGATATTTTTAAAATTTGTTATAAAAAAGTGAAATTTCATGAAAGTCAGGACCTTGCCTGTATCGTCCACATTCACATTGTAAGGTTTGAAACGATTCAGCACACCCAGGTCGGAGAAAAATTTCATGAACGATTGACTCTTCAGATACCACTTTCATATCTCCTTAAGGTGATATGAAAGGATCATTCCGTACATATCACAGCGTAAAAATGTTTATAAAACTTTTCTCCAAACTGGGTGCACCGAATTATCCGAAACTCTAACACGTGATTATGGAGGCCCTAAGCAATGTTCGTGAAATTCCATTATTCGAAAAAAAAAAGTCTTTTTTTGTTCTTGTCCGAGATAAATACATTTTTATCGAAAAATGAATTTTTACGAGAATCGCGTTCTTTATTAGGGCCTTCATAATCTCGTAATGAAGCGTCAGATAATTCGATGCACCCAGTTTGGAGAAAAGTTTTAAAAATATTTTGACTTTTGGTTTGGACCATAAAATATACATACACACAAAAAGTCAAGATATTTACAAAGCTTTTCTCCAAATTGGGTGCACCGAATCATTTGAAACTTCATCACAAGATTGTGGAGGCCCTAAGAAAGAACGCGGTGCTCGAGAGATTTCATCTTTCGAAAAAAAAAAAAAAAATGTATTTATCTCGGACAAGATCAAAAACATTTTTTATTTCTTTTGAAAAATGGAATTTCACAAGCATTGCGTTCTTCCTCAGGGCCTCCGTAATCACGTGTTAGAGTTTCGGATAATCCGGTGCACCCAGTTTGGAGAAAAGTTTCATAAACGTTTTCACGCTTTGATATATATATATAGAATGATCCTTTCATATCGCCTTAATAATAAATCGCGCCGATTCGTTGTCACTCGTCGCGAGGTGACACGCGATTATCCGGGAAAAGGTACCCGGGGTATCACGAAGACACGGTGCTAAGTAAAAGTTCCAAATCCGAGCGGGAAGAAACACGAGATTCTTGAATGCGTGAGTGAGTGACCGAAGACAGAGTGCACGGAAACGTTTGATCGCCTCAGAGAACAAGGGAGAGAGAGAGAGAGAGAGATGGGGTTTCAGTTTAAAGGGAACTACTATATGGAATGAAATAGAGAGAGAAAACGGGGGACAAATCGATCCGACTTAACACTTTTCATAACTCTACGTCGTGCATTATGCGCACCGGGGAATAATTGGACTTGGTCAGCGTCGTTTCTTTAACTCGAGGAAAGGAAAGGAAAAATGCTCTTATGGAGGAAGAAAAATTCGCCTTCGGAAGATTCGCGGTGATTTTTTTACCGATTGGAACGACGCGCTGGAAAGTACCCAGCAATGGTATCGCCATATCGGTACAATGCACTTTATAAAGGCAATCCACGATACATATTGCAAACGCTGTGCCATGTAGACGCGAGAGGACATTGTATCGTTGAAAGTATTGTATATTAACTACAAAGTCGATGTAGTGCTTTCGGTATAAGGAAAGTATATCGCCAATCGCCGCGGTACTTTGATAATATTTATATACCTGCCGTAGAGAAGTGTCTTAGAAAATTGAGGTGATATGAAAGAGTCATTCTATATGTATATATACAAAACGTCAAGATATCAAACTTATCTCCAAACAAGGTACACCGAATCATTTGAAACTTCAACACGTGATTATCGAGGCCCTAATGAAGAATCTGACGCTCGTGAAATTTCATTTTTCAAAACGAAAAATATGCCTCCTTGGTTCTAGTCTAGTATAAATAAAAAAAAGAACATTTTTTTTTTTGAAACATGAAATTTCATTTGCAGCGCGTACTTCCTAATGACCCTCGCAATGAAGTGCTGAAGTTTCAAATGATTCGGTGCACCCAGTTTGGAGATAAGTGTTATCAATATTTTGACTTTATATATATAGAATGACCCTTTCGTGTCACCTTAACAAGATGAAACCATTGTCAATAGTATTTAATTCATATTATTGCTGCGGTTTCGATAGACCGACTTTCCAGCGTGTCGAGCCATTCCGATTTCCTTCCTCCGCGAGACGTTAAAAAAAAAGAGAAAAGAAAATAATAGGATATACAATATTTTCCGACCATTGAAACGCATTTCCTTTTTCACATTCGTTGCACAAATTTCCCTATCATTGTTTCCGCGTATCCCTTTAATTCCCGACGCTGACAAGACGGCCGATTGTTCGCGGTGTACCGAAACTCAGAAACATAGCGAAGTGCCTACTCGTACAAAGAGAAACAAGAGAGAGAAGAGAAAAAAAAAAGAAGAAGAAGAATAACAATGAGTGACGAAAGAGATGAAAATAATACGAGCCGCAAAAAGCATAGCATTTACAGTAACGTGTATTTAAACAGTACGCATTGCGTCGGATTTCCAAATCCCAAACCGCTCGAACCTCTCCTCTGATTAAAAAAGAAGCCACTTATTACATACCGCGAGAAAGATATATATATATATACACACATACCGACTCCATATTACCGACAATATTAAATTAATCGTTACTAAGCGTAGAAGTATCTCTTATACGACTGTATGACTTGTCGAGGACGCATTGTCTCTGCGAAAGTACGACACGTTTCCTCTTCGGGATAACAATCGCCAGGAATCGAGGATGAAAGTTTAACGAAAGACCTCGTCAATTGCACTCACACTTGCACCTTCCTTTTCGATTGTCTTCTCCTCTTTGGGGACTTTTTTGCAGCCTCTTGACTCGCTGGTATTACAAACTCAAGTTAATATATACGCGTAATCGTTGGAGATTTCTTAACGAGAACTTCAAGTCTAAGTGTTTCGCATACATTTTTGCTACTGTCCTTTGTGCATTTCGAAGGTATATATATATATATANAATCTACATGCATCCATTCTATTCTGTCTGGATTACCGTTAGCAGACGTTGGAACGTTTCCTTCAAAAAGACCTTACAAATCCTGATGTTATATAGATATTAATTAAAATATAATATCTAAAATAATGTTCACACAGTTCCTGTAGAATCTTACTTTTCTAACAAAATTTCTTCTTTGACCGAGAATCAATTTAGTTTATATATATATATATACACCTTATATATGTATACATATATATATACATATATACAATATATATATATACATATATACGTGATGCCTATTTATCAGTAGTTAACTAAGGATTTGATATACCTTTTTTTAACTCTTAACTGTGTAGTCAGGATTGCGAGTAATGGACTCATTTTTTTGTCCGCATATATTTACAATCGTTGGATCTTCATTAACGATGTACGTGGTTATCGAGTGGGTGCAACTTTGATATTCTATTGATATGGTTTTGCCGTTTGTTTTTTTTTTTTTTTAAGAGCATTGCAGTTTATTATCAGTGCACGGAGTGTACATAGAGGTGGAGGAAAACGTTTAATTTCACCTCAAAAGGGTACCTTAAAAGTATAAGTGAAAATCAGATAATACATGTACATGTCAGCTTCTAATTGTACGACAAATATTGTTTAGAATAACGTTAAAAGAGTGATTTAATTTTGGTTTGAAAAACACTAGCAATTACCGAGATGTGACCATAATCTTCTTTCATTATGCTAAACGATGTATGTGGTTATCAGGCGGGTGCAACTTTGATATTCTGGGTTTTTTTTTTTTTTTTAAAGAACATTGTAGTTTACTATCAGTGCACGGAGTGTACATAGAGGTGGAGGAAAACGTTTAATTTCACCTGTGGGATTCCTGATGGAGGGTTTAACCGGAGTCGAACGGAGTCGGAAAGGCGGATTCTTCGGGCTTGGCAGTCGAGTACCTATTTGATAAGATCACTATGATAAGCGAAAACCGTAGGGAGAAAGAGAAAAGGGAGAGAGATAGAGAGAGAAAGCGAGAGAAGTATTACTTAGTGAGTCCGAGAGGTATAATCGGTGATTAATAACGAGTTATGAATAATTAACGATAGGGGGTATCTCTTATAGGAGTCTAAAACTCGCGACTAGACTTCTTTCCCTAGTGACTGTGTATTTATGGAGTATACTATAGGAATAGTAGGAGTAACTGAACGTATGGTATTTACCTAGTATACCCGCACGAAAGTGAGAAAAAAAAAGCGAGAGAGAGAGAGAGAGAGAGAAATTTATATGTATACAAGTAAGAGAAGGAAAGAATATCATTCACCTTGTATATCGAGTATACATTCGCAGACATTAGCGTACCACTTCGCCAACATACCTTAAACTTGCGATATAAGGAACGCTCTTTTCTGTACCCTAGTAGCTATTTTTCCTCATTTGAAAGGAGGAAAAAAAATAGTCCAATTTCGATGACCTGGTTAAAGTTGACATTGCTCATTCAAGAGGTTCAGAAAACGACATTCAATGTCCAATTTGATGCGCCAGGCTAAACATCGCTGATAATAATTAGGTCAGAGTTTTGCGCCTCTATATGTGTATATATATATATATATACACATATATTTGGCGCGAAACTCTACCGAATTTCTTAATTTCTTGAATGAAAATCTGCCTGAAAAGGCCCCGCAAGGGAAGGACCTCGAAAAGATGTTCTCCCTGGACTTCTTTACGTACATTCGAGCCACCTCGTAAAGCCTGGAGTTTAAATTGAATTTAATTAATTAAGGAAAGAAAAAAAGAAAATGCCTCACCCAGAAGTCCTCGGTGAGCTTGCAATGATTTATTATTCTTATTTCTCTTTCTCCGGTGAAATTTTATCGTTAGTTGGATGTTCTTCTTTTTTCTTTTTTGTTATCTACAGACTGCTACTAGGGCACAGTATTCATTGGGAGCGTGATAAAGAGGATGTTGATCAAATGGAAGAAAGGAGGAGGAACCTTTTTTTATAATCAGAGAAGGAGAGATAGAGACCCACTTTGCCTAGTTCCATTCGTAGCAAGTAAACGATATTCAACTACTGGATGGCATGACGGAACTTTTACACATAATAAAAACCATGTTTTGTGTGGAAACCCGAGAGCATACTAAAGGGAAGTAACGCGAGAGAGAGAGAGAGAGAGAGAAAGAGAAAAAGGAGATTGTAGCGATTTACTCACGTCGATGTTCGCTAATTTTCGTTAGAAGGCACGAGGAAGAGATTCTTTTAACTCTTCGTTATTATCTACTTCATTGCGCATGATTAAATATATGTTAACTGTTGATGAGAGCAACTAGGTGCGCGGTTATTTAATCGTCGGCGAGATTTCTCCTCGGCAGTTCTGTCGCAGGGAAACTCGTCTCTTCCTCGTGCCGTAGAGATTAGATTCGAGAAGATCGGTATTTTCGATTTTTCGAAATCCATTGCTGACCTTCTCTGTTCCCTCCCCACCACCCACCACCACCCCCCCACGCCCCCGAATGAAATAAAAATAAACGATCCAGGTGGTTGCTCATTGCTGCTGATTTCTTTCAGATCTAAAAGCGAAAACGCCGAAACCAGCGAGACCTTGCACGAGGAGGCCGAATCTGCGACCTAAAAATGATACCTCATTTTTGTATCATTTATCATAGTCCCACCTCCCGCAAAAGGGAGGTCCATCCCTTTTCCTCAACCTCCACCGGAGACCGGCGATATTTATTTCGGAGCGAGGAGAGAACCCTGGGAAAGGAGACCATAAATGCTTGAATAGATAATAAATCGATTTGTTTAATACACCAAACTCCACAGACAAGTCTGATCCTAATTGCTATTTTTATTTGACGAATCTACATGCATCCATTCTATTCTGTCTGGATTACCGTTAGCAGACGTTGGAACGTTTCCTTCAAAAAGACCTTACAAATCCTGATGTTATATAGATATTAATTAAAATATAATATCTAAAATAATGTTCACACAGTTCCTGTAGAATCTTACTTTTCTAACAAAATTTCTTCTTTGACCGAGAATCAATTTAGTTTGTTAGGTTCAGTTGAGTCATCGATTTACATATGAAATAGTGAGTTGTGATTAATATCTTTAAAGAGTAGGTCCAATTAGGAAAAATAGAAATTCGATTCATTTATTAAATAAGTATTACAATTATGCGTTCCTCACCGAACCTTTGATAATCTTTACGTCATCTATCGGTCGATCGTTTTTGTCAGTTTCTACCAAACCGATCCTCTTCACGATGGCCATCCCAGTATGAATTCGTCCTTTAAATGTACAAATGATGTTACTTTATATCTAATTAAGGTGAATAGTAGTCTACAAACGTGTTCACGTACATAGCTTACCGAAAATTGCGTGCTTCCCATCCAACCATTGAGTAGGAGCCAGGGTAATGAAGAACTGCGAACCATTGGTATCCGGCCCAGAATTGGCCATCGACAATATACCAGCACCTGAATTAATTTCAAATGCACAATTTTAATACACGTCAAAGTGATCTTGACGAAATCGTGCAATTCTGTTTTAACGTACCGGTGTGTTTTAAATCGTCATGTATTTCGTCATCGAAACATTCTCCATAAATTGACATACCACCCTTTCCAGTTGCAGTTGGGTCACCACCTAAGCAAATACACTAATGTCATTCTAGCTCATTATCAGTGTAAGTGTCGCACAATAATTAATTTCTAAATCACCATGATTCTATCGACATTATTACCATGCGATGCTTAACCTTGGATCATGAAGTCACGGATGATTCTGTGAAATTTTGTCCCATTGTAGTATCCCCTGCGAACGAGTTCTGCAAAATTTCTACAGGTTATCGGTGCGTGCTTCCAATATAATTCGACGACTATTTCACCCATTCTGCAATAAGAATAGTAATCCCATTATATCTATGTTAATTCACGTTTGACTTCAGGTTTACAACAAAAATAGGAAATGGAGGAAAGCATTCCCAAATTCATTATAAAATCAGATTTTCAAGTGCTAATAAAAATTCATTCAGATGTGTGAATACATAGGTTAGATTATGACATTAAAAAGTAGAAGCGATCAAAGGGGATTTTAATCATTAAAACTTACGTTGTTTCTAAAGCCACAAACGGAGGTTGCCAATGTTTGTCAGGAATACCTGATATATTAGCCAGTGCCATTGTAAAACTTGATTTTAATCTGCGTGGTGAACGAACAGTGCCGGTAAGCGTAGGTAAGCCACTACCGTCACAGCCACATGGTATTACCATCGCAAGTACGTGAACCGCCAATGGCGCCTGGTAGATGGCCATCGTGAGTGCGCGAGGCCCTACCAGAAATTCGTTGCGCCGCCCTTGGGGGCAATAAACGGTGAAAGCTAACGTACGAAACCAGAGGGCAGCTCAGGATGCGATCGCACGATCCCTTCCGTGAGCGATCTCCCAACTCATCTCTGCATTATAACGACAAAAATGTAGATTAATGTATAAAATAATTAACAATGATAATTTATTCGAGAATACGCTGAATAAACTAAATAAGACTAAATTATATACGCTGAATACAATGTGAACGTTTACCTATGAACTTGGAGTATGCTAATGGAAACTTTGATTATTAGTAACAGAAACTTTTCTCTCTTCCTCCTGAATGAAATACTTTTCATTAGTGAACAAGTGTTTATAACACTTCAGAAAATATATTCGGCTGTTTTGACGTTCTAATGAAATTACTCATTCGAATCGAAATATCGAGATCAATTCTCCATTGTACAGCCAAGTTGTGCATATATTTTTTCTGTATCGATTCACGCCTATCGTGAGAGAAGTGCGCAACGATCATCATTAATTTCTAATCAGTGTTTCGAGAATTTTTCGCAATTTAAACGCCCTTCTTGCTAAGCATTGGTTTCCTTAAGAGCAGCTGTTTCCGGCAATAATGCGCCATCTCCGAGGGTCTTCGTCGGTTTGACACGTTACAGAATTAAAATCGGCCGAAAGTGTCGAGTCTGCTTTGGGAGGTGTCCAGAAATTGCCCGAAATGTCTGAAAAGCATAATAAAGGACGACTGGAGTGATCATTTAGTTCCGTAAATGCGGAAGGCTAAGACAAGGTTGGACCTGGCGCGGCTTCGGCGGCATCTCAGCGACTGCCGGAGCAACCTAACCTAGAAAAGGGAACTATGTATTCTCCCAAGGATCTGGGCAAAGCAGATTATATTAGCTTGAATATCCATGACACTGCTTCCTTCGCGCGAGGCACTTCGCGAAGCCTCTGGAGGGTAAGCTACCGATCTCTAGAAAGTCCTTCGAAAAGTGCTTCGAATCAATAAGACTCGAGTCACGAGTGGTTCAATATCGTTTCAATATATCAATGAAAATATGGATTTTCTCGAACTTAGACATGCACTTTTTGTTTCAGCAATGGAACCAGCTGTCAAGGTTCCAAAGGAACACCATTTACTTTGCAGCGATTACAATTCCACTTATAATATTTTATCTTCTTCCGGGAGAGACCAAGAATGCTATATTGGATAGCAGTAAGGATTACGATAGCTTGAAGGAGATTCAAGATACCCCTAAGCATGAGAAGGTATGATCATTTTCTGTCGTTTTCCCATATTTTTTTTTGGTAGTTTGTGCTTTCACTTTGGCATTTCAAAAGTTGATAGAATGTTACAAGTTTTAAAGGGATATAATCAATGTTTATATTTAAATACATTTATGTGTATTATGAGTATGATAGAGATTTAATATCTTAAAGCACTTATTACCGTTAACAGGCGGTAGAAGAGCTAGTTGTCGATAACATTGATCAAGGTGGAGGTGCAGGCGGTGGGGAAGTTATAGAAGAACCAGAATTTCAACCAGAAGTGAACCAAGTTGACGACGATCAAATTGGTGAACCACCACAACCTAAGCCAAATGCACTTAAATTTAATGGTAAACATTTAATCTAAAGTAAATGACTAAATATCACTTTTATTAAATTAATACAGTCGTATCTGCTTAAACTCTGTGGGCTCTAAATATTTTGTTTATAGTGATAAGATATTAATATGAGATATGTGATGAATATTTTCAATGTTGTTTAGGCCCTCAGAATAATAGGCAAAGGAGTGTGGTCACTGCCTTCAAACATTCTTGGAATGGATACAAGAAATTTGCTTGGGGACATGATAACGTTAAACCAATTTCCGGTGGTTATCATGAATGGTTTGGTTTAGGATTAACGATAGTTGATTCACTGGACACAATGTACATAATGGGTTTAAATGATGGTACATTTATTCATTCAGATCTTTGGGTCAAGTAAACTTAAGAGAGATTTATAATTAATAGCGTAAATGTTTCAGAATTCACGGATGCTCGTGCCTGGGTCGAAAACAGTTTAGTATTTACTTTAAATAGGGACGTAAATTTATTTGAAGTCACCATAAGAGTTTTGGGGGGATTACTAGCTGCGTATCACCTCTCAGGAGATAAACTCTTTCTCGACAAGGCTGTAAGTTATACACAACGGACTCTTTGATGTGTAGAAAGTTGTTTAAAAGTTTACTTTTATAACGAATGTTTTTAAATATTCCAGACTGATCTTGGAGATAGAATGATGCCAGCATTTTTAACAAAATCAGGCGTTCCCTTTTCTGATGTTAATCTCGGAACCAGAAGTGCTCACAGCCCGAAGTGGGGGCCCGATAGTAGTACCAGCGAAGTCACCTCGATACAACTAGAATTTCGAGACCTGAGTCGAAGCACTGGCCAACCGAAATTCGAGGTGATTTAAGCTTAATTTAGTAACAAAGATTTATAAATATAAAAGTAATTATGCACACAGGCAGCTGCTGCAAAAGTATCCGAACATGTACACCAATTAGAGAAGTTCGATGGATTAGTGCCCATCTTTATCAATGCCAATACAGGGCAGTTCCGCGATTCTGCAACTATTACACTAGGTGCTCGAGGTGATAGCTATTACGAGTACTTATTGAAACAGTGGTTACAGACAGGAAAGCTGATTAACTAGTAAGCAGAAGCAAATTTATACGATATCTGTCCCTCATTCCAAAACTTCAATAATACTTTGATGGATACTATGAAATTCATTCTATTTTTTACTTAAACTCTATTTATTTCCTGTCACAGTTTGAAAGATGACTACTTATTGGGCATTCAAGGGACTCAAAAACATCTTACAAGGAGAACTGCTGTTAATCAGTATTTGTTTATTGCGGAACTTATTGGGGCATCAAAGGACTTGAAGCCTAAAATGGTAAAAAAAGAATACAGTGAACGTAATAATTTTTAATTCCATGTAAATTTAAGTTGATCCGGTCTATGCCTCATTTCTTAGGATCATCTTACTTGTTATTTGGGAGGGACGTTAATTCTGGGAGTTCATCACGGTTTGCCATTGGATCATCAGGACCTCGCCAACGAAATCGTCCGAACTTGTTATCAGACCTATGCTATTCAGCCTACGTTTTTGGCTCCTGAAATCACTTACTTCAACATTCAGGTGATAATCCACTCAACTATCCCACTGCACGTATTTGATAGAATTAACAATGCGTTACAAAGTATCGAATGTTTAATATGAAAATAAACGATACAATAGTCTCGCACTTTTCAGAAATCCGAGGACGAGAATCAGATGGACATGTACGTGAAAACTAACGATGCACATAATCTTTTACGTCCAGAGTTCATAGAAAGTCTGTACTACATGTGGTACTTCACGGGCAACAAGACTTACCAGGATTGGGGCTGGCAAATATTCCAGGTAAGTTTTCTCATTTCCTTTATTCAGCATTTTTTATATCAGCAAGGCTTATCGCCGAATTTATTGTCGAGCTTTACTGTAATGCCTGCACTTGTAAAGTAGTCGACGTGATTTGTACAGGCCTTCGAGAACTATACCAAAGTGGAGAACGGCTACACGAGTATCGGTAACGTTCGCAATATCTACAACACTCGTCCTCGAGACATGACGGAGAGCTTCTGGTTCGCGGAGACCCTGAAGTACTTGTACTTGTTGTTCGACGACAGCCGACAATTGATCGACTTACGTAGATGGGTCTTCAACTCCGAAGGCCATCCTCTGCCGATGTACGAATCATAACGAGTCGTGTTGACATACCGTGATTCATAACTCGTAAGTTCACCATTGTCAATTCGCTTAGGGTCCCTCGGAACCGGGAACACGAGGAAAGTCATTCAATTACGATTTCACACGAGTTGGATAAGAGTTTCTGGAGCGCGGAACAGTTTTCCATCTTCGTCACGAGACAGAAGTGGGTAATTAAGATGATATGAAAGGCGCTGAGAAATTTAATCGAGATCGGTAAATTAAATTTCATCTATACCCTTTTTGGTAGTAACGCCATTTTGAATGCCCAACTGGTAACACAAGCTGGCGCGTCATGTTACCGACATTTATATTTATGTTGGTCTTTTATAGTCTACGTTGAGAATTATACGAAATGAAGCGATCTAAGTGTTATTTTAGTTAAATACATTTTTTATGAAAAATGAAATTTCATGAGTTTCAAGACCCACTTTAGGGCCTCCACATTCACGTGGTAAAATTTGAAACGAATCGGTACACCCAATTCGGAGAATACTTTCACGAACGATATATATAGGCTGACTCTTTCATATCACCTTGAGGTGATATGAAAGTGGCATCCGAGGGGTGAATTGTTAGACACTTTTCTTCGAACTGAGTATACCGAATCGTCCGAAACTTAACCACGTGAACATGGAGGCTCTAAGGAAGGTCCCGACGCCCATGAAATTTCATTTTTCATACAAAGTTACACAATTGATTATAAAACATACATTAAAAGAGGAAATTTCATAGATGTTTGGACGTGCCTTGGAGCCTCCACGTTCACGTGCTAAAGTTTTAAACAATTCGGTATAGTAAATTCGGAGAAAAGTTTCATAAACGAGACTCCTCAGAGGTCACTTTCGTATCACCTGAAATTACACATCCAACTATGTTATATGGCGTCCCGTTGAAAAATGTTGCCAAGAAATCAAGAAACAGCGTAAAGTTTCGCGCCAAATGCATATGCAATCACGTTAGGAGAAATATTAATTAATCGTTCGGATGAGAGCGTAATTGAATCGAACGTTTCCCGCTGCTGTGTAATCCGAAATCGAATGACTGCCGCGTTTGCTGGTTATTAGGAAAAGAGCGAAAGAAATGAAAAAAAAAGAAAAAATGAAAATAAGGAGGCCCGATGCCTTCGATATGTGATCACTGATCGAGCCATCGCGTCGTTACATCTTCCAGTTATCGAGGAAAAGTTAATTAGTAATAATGATCACGGTCACGTTGATCAGTGGTCGTGGTTGGGATGAAATCTTAGTCAATGATCGACCGAGGATAGATTTTGATAAATCCCGCTGCTGATCGTTATCAAGTTGTCGACAGACCACGTCTTTACAGTTAGGTAAAATGAAAAGTACAGAGGTGTACCGTCTTTTAAAGCTAGATCTTAAATCAATCACATCATAGAACTAAAAGAAGGGGCTTAGCTTCCAAAGAAAACCCCCCCTTCGCCGACACCGTTTCACCGTAGCCATTTATTAATAATTAAAATACACGCAAGGGATTTTCGTAATTGCGCAACGATAGTTCACCATAGACCGCGTCGTCTAATAGATAATTACTTGAACCATCGATGCCTCTACGCTCGGTAAAGTCCAGCTTAATATTCTCCACTTTTAATTGACCTAGGAATCCTAGGAAAGGGAAGGAACGTTTCTAAAATTATGTGAAAGCATCTTTTTTGCTTTTTTTTTTTATGACAATCATTTTACCGGAAATCTTTTCTACGTCCGGACTGAAATTTGGTGCTGAAATTAACGTCTCCTCTTTTCTATATACATTTTTAGGCCCCTACTCATACCTCAATTTTAGCGTTAAAAGACGTATTTTAGAGCACTGTTAAAAGCAACCCTACTCACTTGTCGCTTTTAAACGACTTTTATAGAAAATCCTTAAAAGATTTACCATACGCAATCATAATATTACTAAATTATATTAGCAATTTTGCGCGTGACCCTTTTCATGTGTACGGTTTACACTGATGGCTAGTTCCGCGGTCGAGAAAGGGTTAAGAATGATATGAAAGGCGCTGAGAAATTTAATCAAGGTCGATAAATTAAAATTCATCTGTACCCTTTTTGGTGGTAACGTCATTTTCAATACTCGAGTGGTAACACAACCTGCCGCGTCACGTTACCAACATATATATTTTTACGTTGAAGCCTTTTACAGTCTACGTTGAGAATGATACGAACTGAAGCGTTCCACATTCCATTTCAGTAAAGTAATGACGAAGAGATCGACGTAAAACTGTCGAAATCCTGTGAACTCATTATTCCAATGACTGTTAGGACCAACGTCGCCATCTGTGGCGTTTAGCTGCAACTAAATTTTTGCTGTAAAAACACGTGTTAGCCACGAGACTGGCCAGCATCCTCTTGCAATCGTTGGTGAAAGTATTTTCCAATATTTTTTTTTGTTTTCTTCCATCTGACTTTGTAATATTCCATTTCTACGGTGTTCTAAATTGTTCGAGCTAGGTCCTGAACTCCTTCATTTTCGATTCTAAGCCTCCAAGAAGCGTAAAACGTCGTAAACGTGCCCGGACCACGCCATATTGGTTCTAATCCATGGTAAATAAACTAAGTATCGATGAAGAGTGAAATTTCCCGAGTTTCGGGACCTACTTTAGTGCCTCGACATTCACCTGGTAAAATTTGAAACGAATCGGTACCCCCCATTTGGAGAATACATTCCCCAACCATTTCACTTCTCGGATAGATATATACTGTCTCATATTATCTTAATTAAAAGACGTTTAAAAGCGGTGCTAAAAGTGAGGTATGAGTTGGGCCTTACTCCTCAAGGGAGCAATGTTTATCGATCTACGTAATTATTCATATGATATTTTGCATGTTGCATACGAGTAAACGTAGGGAAATACTGCACGCACGTGTAAAATAACTCGAGGAACAGGAAAGGGGTTCGACGAGAGTACGGAGAGTGCAGTACTTACTTATATTTTTTAACATAACTCGAGGGAGAAAAAGAGAAACAATTAAACGCGACAATTTTGGCGAGATACTCGCGCGAGTTGTTTGCTGCTCGAATGAGGGATTCTACAATTTTGAGTGCACGGCGATTCAACATAAAAGTCAGCGTAAATTGACGTAAATCACAGTAAGAGAGAGAGAGAGAAAGAGGGAGTACTGGGTGTTAGGGCAAAGTGTATTATAGTTGATATTGTTACGGATAAGATCATCTAGTCGTGAATAATGAGGGTGGCGCACTGTTTTCCCACGCATTGATAAAAAATATCCATGTAAATTTACATACTCAATCATTGGTTATTTCGATGCCATAATAAATGTCAGTTGAATTACGCCATCTCTGAAATACCACATTTAGCATCTAAGTTAAGTTAATGACAATTACAATGTAACGTTACATTTAATTCAAGTAAAAATGCACTAATAGGGTAAATATACAATGATACGCGAGTTTATTCACCTTCTAATTTGTGTTCTTTCTATTTTACGACTTTTACATGTGTAACTTCGGTTATGAGGTGTGCAGAAATTGTATGTAAATTTCCATAGATTTTTAACAGTGCGAGGGAATGTGGATATCTGCGTGATTCTAGCATATCGAGCGTGTCTCACGCGCGTTGTGACGTGGACGTTGGATTAAAACCCGTGATTTCCCGTCTATTGGCGAAATACACACTGCAAATATCTAATTCCGCCGAACTAGGCCAAAGGCAGCACTTTTAATTGTGTGATTTTTCAAATTGCGCCAGTAACGGGACTACTGATATTTAGTAAAAATTACATTAACACGTTAAAGATCCTTTCCCTGAATCAGGGCTAATGTCTCTTTTTATTACGGGATTATTCATTACCAGGAATCTGATATGATACTTTGCGAGCTCTACAAGTCTGGAAACATTAGCAATAACACGGGTCAGTTAATTTCTCAAGCTTTTTGCTTGATAAACGAAACGAGATTCACTTTGTTACAGTCTTTAAATCGCTGTATGCTTAATTGAAAATAAAGATCTTTAGAGAATTTGGCAGTCGAATGACGTTTCGTTTATTAAACAGAAATCCTACCGATCGGTAGAACTTTAACATGTTTGTGGGACGATGTGATAGAGACACGATACAGGGCGATTCATAGATTAATAATACTGCGAGGCGTAAAGGAATATTAATAATAATTAATGTAAACAACTTAAAGGAACGCCGATAGTGCTACGTCAACTATTGGAGTAATCTGTAGGATATACATATACATATATATATATTTTTATTCGTTTTATTTGTAAATAACGATTGATTTGTAATTCTTTTCGCTTGTGACACGGCTCCCAGTTCGACGGGTGATAGTTAATATTTTGGCGATATTAGTCTTCGTTACTTGCAGCAGATCAATGCATTTGTAATGTTATCGTAATTCATAATGAGGCAATGTGTATAACTGTTGCCGTGTCCCAAGGAGTGTGTATTAAATGCGTGATATTACTTGACAAACGGGCAGGCAATGTTGTAAAATAAATTGCACTTCAATTAAATAGTCCTTTGACGATCAATTTCACAACTTCCACTCACTTATAACGTTTAAGTCCGAACCGCTAAATGGAATTTTGATTATATACACGCATACTTTCCTTTGTAATAAATCTGTTACTTATGTAAATACGTGTAACGTAGCATCGGTTTTTGTGTCCTTTTTCTAAAAACGTCTCTTACATATGTACACATGGATGTAGTTATCGTTGAGCACTGCCAGGAATAAATTTGTCACTCAAATTCGACGTCAAGTCGTGGCTACATTGATAAATCGCGATTGTCATTTCTCTTAAGGCACGGTCACTTTACATGGCCTGTATAAAATAAAATGTAAGGCCTTACGTTGCGATCCTATTTTAGAATATATATTACTTCCATCTACTGCTGGCAGGAATTACAAGAACGTAGTAATGTTAGTTACGCATTATTGCTAAAATACATCTCTTTCGTTTCACGTCGCTGCACAATTCGGACTTAATATTTCAATCGTTCCAACATGCATTACTATTTGTTTTCGCTCCTATATTAGTAAGATGCATTAATACTAAACGTATCAATTGAGATTCAGGAAATGTGATAAACAACAAAAGTATTAATACTCCTTAAAAAAAAAAAAAAAAAGAGAAATCAACTTTCAGCAAAACGGATACTTAGAAGCAGGTAGAGAATGAGTAATTGAACGATCTGTAAAAATAACTATGACCTACAGGCCATTATTCATTGTACCTATGCATACCGCATACACAGAGCGAAGCACTCAAAGTCATCGTTACGAATAATTTTCATTCCAAACTATACAATAAACTTCTTGACAAAATTAGTAAACGTAGTTCTACTGCACGCACTATTCAATATCACCTCGGAGTCAGTCTAAGTGACTTAACTATCTTCTTAAAGGAAAATCAAATGCAAATGTCGATTCCAAGTCACAAGGTTACGTGCCTCGCTCTACGTTTCGGGGCAAAGTCTTGACTGTACACTAATGTGTCTACTAAACCTCCCTATGACATACTCCTTAAACATAACCTGAGTCAATGAATTCAGACGTACCCTATGATTTCGTAAAAACTCTAATTCGAATTTACCTCGCATGACTATGTATACCTTAAGCGATGTTGTCTATAACCCTTCTCCTGCCATCCTAGTAGAAAAACATGCACTCGTCCCCTTAGTTCTCATGCATTAAGCAAACGGAATAATATCGCTATCACTTATTACTTTCTCGTGAGATAACCTCTCATAAATGCCCCTAACTTTTCACACCTTTTCAGACATCTGAATTCATCGCTGTCACAGCTCTAACCTATACTTCCACTCCGACCGTTAAAGCGGTTAAAAAGAGAGTCATCGCGGGCACGTCGCCGAACAAACCCACGTGGATCACAGCTACCGTGCAATATTATTTTATTAATAATATTCTTAATGATCATGTATGCGGTACATATGGACATATATATATATTTATATTTACGTGCGCAGTGTCTCTGAAGCGTGTCGACATTTAAGTTCGTAAACGGACAAGATGGCGGACGGCGTCACGTGACTCGCGGAACGCGACCAGACCCACGCTTGCGCACTCGGAATGTCAGTTCTAGCAGACGACGTGCTATCTCAGAGTATCCTGCACTCGCAGCATTGCTGGGTGAAGTAGACACACTTTATCAGACAGGAGTCGTCGTCGACGTCGTGGACCGGCTTCTTGCCGTCGATCATGTCCCTGTCGAATCCGTTCTTCTCGATTTTAGGTCGAGGCTCGGGCGCAGGCACGGTAGTTTGAATTATCGGGACTTCCTCCTTGGACACGTCCATCTCCGTGTCCGTTGACGGCTTGTCGAGACTCGTATCCAATGGCGGCGTTATTTTACCCCTGGAGTCGTCTGGACCATCCAAGGCTGAGAAAGATGTCGAAGCGTGCAGAGGCGGTGGCGAATCTCCCGACATCATGACACTGGAACATGAACATTGCTATATTAATTTATATTCTTTTCTGTATTTTAGTCCAGATGATTGGTAATCATCGGACAAGCAAGGGTACTTTTCTAAGAAAAATCTTATTAATTTCTATTTTTTGATTTTAATTTCTATTATTTAATTTTTAATTTCTATTTTTTAATTCATCTCGGAACGCGGATTCGCGTTTCATAATTCATAAGGAAAGAAACGGCAAGTCGGAGAAAGCTCGAAAATTCGCGGTCGGCGATACGCGAGCAAGACATTCGATATGTAAGACGTAATCGCCGGACGAGTATTACGTTCCCCGCGGTGTAATCCAAGAAATTAATCCATTGACATAGCGGACTCGAGAGAGGACATATTTTGGCTATGAGGAGTATCGCTGAAAGTGTAAGACGAAGACGAAGTCAAGGGTGGAGGCGCGTCTCGCGACGAAAGACTCGGAAACGCGATACGAGAAGCCTCGTGTAGCGGCGATCTCGCGATATCAACTTTGCCGGCGCGTCCAAAGAGAAGAGAAGAGAAGAAAGAAGAGGAAAGGAGAAGAGAGGAGAATAAAAGATAAGAGAAGAGAAGAGGGCCTTTCTCGAAAGCCTGAACCCGAATTCCTTGAACGTCTTCGAGTCGAAGAGACTACTCCTCGTGTGGCTGGATCGTATGCACAACTCGGGTAATTGCGTTTTGCCTTCCAGCCCAATTACACGGGTCGCGTGAAGTATTTGACACGGGATTGCACAGGGTGTTCCACTTAACTTCGCCACCCCGAGAGTGTCATTACCGTCTGCGATATGAAGGTCCACTTGCAGAAACTCGAGAAGATAAGGAGTAGTTTTGGCTTTCGATATCTGGAAGGTTATTGCACGAACGTATTTTTCATAACGCCTAAGAAAGTACGGTCTTGAAAATTCTATTTAGTCAATTAGAAGCGTTCGTACTCTCCGAGACAAGTAATTAGTTCCTTGGGATTTTCGTATCACTCACACGTATCAAGAATAATACCAGAGATGTGTACTAACTAACTCCGTAATCTCTGGGTAAATCGGATCATTCTACGAGATTTAGGAACAGAAGACAAAATGGAGGCAATTGTAGTAATTGTATATGGAATGCAAGAGATTGGCGGGCGAGAATGCCATTCTTACGGCTATTCTACTGCCAGGGTACGATGGGAAGGATTTCACGTCCGCCAGGGTACATTCCGCAGATTTTCCTTTGCCAATGCACTCCCCGGGATAAGACGACCAGAAAAGTTTTTTTCCAGAACCTCGAGGGACCGATAGTTCTCGAGATATTCCCCGCTGAAGTCGACCAATCACGGCCAATTGCCCGGTCACGTGGGTCGGAGGCCTCGCACGCGATTGGTCGACTTCGGAGTCGAATATCTCGGACACCGTTGCTCCCTCAAAATTCTTTCAAATACATTTTCGCCTCGAATTTCCCCAAGGATGCTGCCTGTGGAAGGAAATCCCGTGTTTTTCGTAGTCTGGCGGGAATTCCTTTTGCAAACCTCCTCGAGTGGTTTCGATCGTCTCGGAGGCCTCTTCCCCAGTTCGAGCCCAGCCCAGAAAGTGGGCACGAAGTAAAGCAAGCGCGCGGTTTACGACTTGGAGTCTTTAAGCCCGGCGAGGAGGCGTTCTTCGCCGAGCATTATCGTTCATGGAAATCTGCCGAAGGTGAACGTACCACCTCGCCTTCAAGCAGGGGTACATTCTGGACTTCTCCTCGGGCTTCAGACGGCACTCCACCAACTCGGCGAGCGTGTACGACATTTTCGAGGGGAATGGAGAGAGCCACTCCTTCGGCCCCACAGCTCGACGCCAAGTTCGAGGTCACTCTAAGCTCGAAACTCGCCACTTGGGAGCGATACCGAGACAATACTCAGATATTATCGTTGAGCTTGCCTCTTCGGTCGCGTTCGCCTTTTTTTTTTTCCCCTTTGGCTCCTTATATCATATTGCGAGCCCCACACATAGCCACAGCCTGGCCAATTGTCTCTTCCAAGTACTTCAAATGATTGAATGAAAATGATAAAATCCTTATAGATCGATTTCAATTGTTTATATTTAATATGAGTGTCTGTCCTTTAAACGTAAGGACGTCGTTGGATCATTCGGCTTGGTCTCGTTCATCTGCTAGTATTCCACGAGGTCAATTCACTACGGCGAAAATCGATTTCTGGATCTGGCGATATTTTTCCAGAGATCCTGGAATTTGGGAGAGCACCTTTACGGATGAATCTTCTTTTTAATGATCTCTTTTATTTAACTGCGCAATGTGTAACTTGGATTTTGCGACCATAAAGTCTCTTCTGATGGGCTCGGTATGCCGCGTATGACAATTTAATATAAATGTACGTCCTTTAAACGTAGAATATCGTACGGTCTCATTCATCTGCTAGTATTCCACAACGAGGTCGATTCACTACGGCGAAAATCGATTTCTGGATCTGGCGATATTTTTCCAAAGATCCTGGAATTTGGGGGAGCACCTTTACGGATGAATCTTCTTTTTGATGATCTCTTTTATTTAACTGCGCAATGTGTAACTTGGATTTTGCGACCATAAAGTCTCTTCTGATGGGCTCGGTATGCCGCGTATGACACCGATCGTAGGGAGACTAATCGCTTGCAGAGCTCCAACTTGAATCGAGTTAATCGAGGCTAATTGACGTCCATTCGCTGAACCGAAGAAGCGACGAGACGTTCGATGACCAGATCGATTCGATCGGATCGACCCTAGGAGGATGTTCCGATTCGTCCCGGCTTCGCGGCTTCTTCGTCGACCGATTTTATACAATTGTTTTTTGCCAGTCGACCGTGCCTTTTAACAGTTACAGTTCACTTCACCAGGCTCGCATCGAGCCTTACCTAATCTTAATTTTTATAAATTTCACAACAAATCGTTATATTTTAATTTTATTACACCCTGTTAAACGGCTCCTCGAGGTCGCGCCACGCCCTCCAGCTTCTCAAGTTTTTTTTTTGTTTTTATTATCAAATGCGTTAACAATTTTTTCCAGGTGTACCATGAAATTTACCACCATGGGTTAACTTCAAACGTAGTTCCTTGAATTATAGCTGCCTTCGTATCTCTCCAGGACGTATCATTAACCATTTCATGAAAAAATGACCCGATGTCCCGGATACAAAATCTCGCCGTTTCTTTTATACATTTTGTATGAACAATCCTTTTCTTCAATGTTTGTTTTTTTCTTTTTATCCTTACGCCAATCGGTTAGAAATCACAAATTCGGAAGACCCTCGCTTTTCTCCCACCGTCATCACGGGGAAAAATATTTCTTAATCCTGGGAAGTCCACTTTGAGAAAAAAAAAAAAAAAAAGGAAACTCACCGAAGTGGCTTTACCTTTAGGAATCACTTTTAGAGGAAGTACCCTTATTTCAAGGGATTTCGTCCTTTTTAGAGAGGAACTTTTCTCACAGCCTTCCTGGACCTTTCTCACTCCAAGGACTGACGCAATGGAATAGAAGCGAATTTATGTCCTTCGGCTCCTGGAATCCGGCAGCTGCACATTTCACCCCCTATGGTGAATTGTGTACGACCAAACGGCCCGCAAATACCAACGTAAGAATCCCATCCGTGTGTTTCAGTGAAAGTACACGACATACCCAGAAGTCATGCCCGGCACATCGTATTTGAACTCGGGTGGATTCAAATATAACGTCCCATTCACTGTTATGCCGTTCAATTTGACTTAATTCAACGTCACTCAGTTGTAATCGTTTAACCGTGTGTCAAAAGTCACTCTTAAATTTCACGTCAAAGGATCTCTATTTACAAAATCCATGCCCCGAACGCCATCTTGCCGAGCATTTACAAATATATATTTCTATCAGCATCGTTAAAATGAATTCCCAACAATGGACGTGGATAATATCTCGATGCTGTCAATCGTTATCTCACTTTCCTCGCGATTATTATGCACGCTGGCAAGTGTCATAAAAAACGCGGCATATCTACGACGTCAGTGAATTTTTTTTTAAAGCAACTTCGTTTCAACGTTTCCTTTCTTGCTGACGAGTCTTATGGATGTCAACCTTGATAAGACGACGTTCGTAGTTCAACTGTCGGTGCTGGCTTGACAATTTTCACGTAGAGATGAACTTTCAATCTGGCGGGAGTATTGATGAAACTTCATTTTATCTCTTTTTTTTTTTTAGTCGAATTTCTTCGGCGCCGACAGCCTCGATAAGGCGATCATAGATTAAACTATCGATTCCGGCTTGGCAGTTTTTCACGTTGAAATGAACATAAAATTTGGCGAAAACAAATGAAACTTCATTTCATCGTTTCTTCTCTTTAGTTGAATTTCTTGGACGCCAATAACCTTGACGAGGCGATCTTAGTTAAACTGTTGATTACGGCTTGGCAGTTTTTACATGGAGATGGATTTCATATTTGGCGAAAATAAATGAAACTTCATTTCATCGTTTCTTTTCTTTAGTGGAATTTCTTGGGCGCCAATAACCTTGACGAGGCGATATTAGTTAAACTGTTGATTACGGCTTGGCAGTTTTTACATGGAGATAAATTTCAAATTTGGCGAAAATGAATGAAACTTCATTTCATCGTTTCTTATTAATTCGAGTTTCTTGCTTGCCGACAGCCCCGACAAGTCGACGTTCGCGGTTGTAGTTAAACTGTCGATCCCGGCCTGACAATTTTCACGTGGAGATGAATTTCGAAGCTGGCGGGAGTACTATACGACGTTCTTATTCCGAGCTGGCAAGTGGTGGGGGGAGGACCGAGACGATCTCGGCCAATGAGCGACGAGGAACGCTCACGCTTACGGAAAGTCGGCTTCTGATTGGCTGCGAGGTTCGAGCGCGACGAAGAAGGAAGGAGCGCTCGCGCCTATGTAAGAAGAAGAGAGACAGGACTAGTCAAGAAGGAAAGAATTAGAAAAAGAAGAGGGAGAAAGAGAGCAAGGAAAAGAGAGAGGAAGAGAGGAACGTCTCTTATCGAAAGGAAGATCGCGAGTCCAAGATGGCGGCACTTCGAGATTAATCGACCGTCAATTGCGAGGTGGGTTTGACGACTGTTGGCAAAGCAGGTCTCTGTACCCTGCGGTTTTCTTAAAGGTCTGTGTTCACGATTACAGAACTTTGACAAAGTTCTTCGTCAAGTGGGTATGTTACTATACTTAGAAAAAAGTTCTGATGTTAGGATAACATTGTGCCTATAGTTCGTAATTTTAGGTTACATTTAATATAATCTTAGTGATGGTTACATAGTTATTGGTTACGATTAAAGAGGTTCCTAGTAACGGGAGTTGATTACAAAATTAACCAAATATAGTATCTGATACGAAAATATTCTCTGTTCATCCAAATGTGATAAAGAAGCGCATGTAACCGAAATATTTATATTCTTCTACGAGAAAAAAAATATGTATCCTTGGTTCCGGTCTGATATAAAAAAAAAAACACAGGGCCTCCATAATCACGTGCTAAAGTCTCAAATTATTAAGTGCACCCACTTTGAAGAAAAGGTTTTTTATATATACTCTGACATTTTGATACATATAGAATGACCCTTTCATATCACCTTAAGTACTTTCCCTTATCATTATTCATATTTAATCAATTTTAGCCATTTTCTTCCAGTGCATAATAAAAGTGCGTTCATAAGTATCTGTTATCGTTTAAGTAGTATGTAATTTAAATTTTAACGCAGTTAAAAATGTTGAGCATTTTGCCTTGCATTGGGGGCCCTCGGTGTGCGCCGACTGGGAATGCAAATGAGGAGGAATTGACCGAGGAAAGGACCAGTTAGAGGGAATACCGATGAAAATAATGAGAGATGATTGGCGGGTATCCGTAGAAGCGGGAGGAAGAGTGTCGAGGAGAGAAGAAACCGGTAAAAATAGGATAATAAAAAGCCTCGAGCGGGGCAAAAATTCGGAAACCTGGGACCCCTCTCGGATCGAAGTAGGAGGGACCGGTTTATCGGGCAAGTAAATAAATTCCCAAGTCGATGTACTTGTCCCGTAAATGTATACGGATCCTACGGGGATTTTGGGATGGACCTGCAAACCCGTAGAAAAACAGTATTCCACTTTTTTAAAGTCGAACTAGCCAATGGAGGTCGATTTTAAAGACGAGTTTATCAACAAGTTTGGCTTTTCAGGGTTTTTCGGAGACAATGGTTAAAATCATCTCTGCAACATTGACATGGGATTTAACGCGATTGTTTGGATCATTTGTTAACGGAGGATATTTAACTCCGTTGGGCAATATTTTTTTGTCTCTAATTAATATCTAAAAGAAAATGGCTAAGCGACCGCCATGGGTGTTGGAAGTGGAGTTGCTCTTTTTACTTCTATTTCACTTAAAGTGCCAACAAGTAACCGTGAGAATAACGCACTAACACTGACGAAGACCTCTCGGTAAACTATCTTGATACTAACATACAAAGATGAATATATAATTAGTAATTAACCGTAGAAACAGTGAAATAAGTGTTTCATTTTTCGTTACACTCACATTTCTGGCCGTGGTGTAAGGAGTTTTACTTCAAGATAATGCTAATTGTGTACATTTGAGTCGTTCTATAAAGTTTTAAATGCTTATAAAAACAAATTGTTCTTATCAAATGATCCCTCGGTTCACACATATGCATTCTGACGTATGCCTCAGAGTTTCTGATTGATTTCCTAGATTAACTTCAAAGAACTTATTTCCATCAGCTTTAAACAAATGTGAAAAAAATCGTTTTGCGAGATAAGCTCTGACGAATGGAAAATAATCGAATAACTTGGTTGAAAATTTGCGATCCACAGGAAGCGAGAAGTCGAGGCTCGTCCTTAACTTAAAGAACAGGGAAGTCAGTTTCCTTTTTTTTATGCTAGCGGGATGAAGAGATAAATCCAGGGGTCAGTACGTCCATCAGTTATGGCCCACCTCTATCTTATTAACATATCTTCTTGGACGGACCATTATATTATCCCGGCACGTATACGGTCACTTGCTTTCCATTACTATGCAGCTCAGGATTCGTGAATGCTCGATCCGACACTATCTAATGTTCTGAGGGAACAAGATTTTCCCGTCTTATCTGCTGAGGAAATTCAGCATAAATAAAGATAAAATCTTTGTGGTGGCATGTTTGAAATAATGCAAAATTAAAGTATATACATTTTTTTTCAGTAAATAATTTGACTGAGATCTCACTTTTAACGTCAATCGATCACAACATAACGATATTAATATATNTTAATTCTTTTTAAATTAAATTTTATGAGCACCACGTTTTTCCTTATTACCTACATAATCACGTGTTGAAGTTTCAAATGATTCGGTGCACCCAGTTTGGCGAAAACTTTTGATAAATATTTTGACGTTTTATGTATGTAGAATGACCCTTTCATGTCACCTTAATTATTTGACTTTTCGAGTTCATAAATAATATATCAACGTGAATGTTTTTAATTATCTGGTTTTTGTCACAATTCCTGTTGTCGGTACATGGAAAGGCAGGAAATGTAGACGGCGCAAAAAGGGAATAAATTTCCTACGAAGAGAGTGCAAAGACCTAAAATATTCCCGGACAAATTCTCGCGATCCTGTTCTTCGGAATCTCCTAATTTACATTTTACTTTACTACGACCGGTTAGTCCTGAAGATCGAAGATGGTTGCCAACGGACGCAGTCATTCTCCTGAGGCCATTGACGAATATCCCTTCAATGGGGTCTTCGTGGAAAATTGCCCTTACCCTAACTTGTTAATGTATCTCTTCCAATACAATGTCATGTATAATTAAGGTAACGATGACGATATAACGTTTATCTCTTCACCCGAAAATTGCAGTTACGGAAAATAAAAGAATACTGTGAACTGATTAATTTAAACGTCATTGCATCCAAATGTACATACTGTAATCATGCTGAAAATAATCTTAAAATTGACGTCCCAAAAGATTAATAAAAAACCGAAAGATACGAAACTTGTGTTATTTTCGAGAATTTCTTCCAGCCCCCCAAAAAATTCATTTTTTAATATTTTTTTCGTTCAGTACCGTTTCGAGTGAAACGTTTATCGTGTTCTCGTCCTAACCTCCAATACCCTCTCAAATGCGATTTTCATCTCAAAATAATCATGCTGAAAATAATCTTAAAATTGACATCCCAAAAGATTAATAGAAGTCCGAAAGATACGAAACTTGTATTTAAGAGAATTTCTTCCAACCCCCTAAAAAATCCTTTTTTTTTTGTTCAATATCGTTTCGAGCGGAACGTTTATCGTGCCCTTGTCCTAACCTCCAATACCCGCTCAGATGCGATTTTCTTTTCCGAGATCGTCATAACCTATAAATGAATATTCCGCGGATAACTCGAGAGTAAACTTACTTGTACTCGCCGCGATGTGCCAGTAATCTTCTCAAGCCCATGTCACGTAAATCTCTCCCCGGCACCGAAATTTCAATGTTTCTCGAGGAAAAAAAGCGAATACTCTCCGCAACGGTCGGACGTCGAAAGTGCGCGGAACATTGCATCGGACTGTCGTTACCGTCGCGCATTGACACTGCGTTGACAGCCAACAAATGAATGATTACGGGTATGAAGGTTGAATCGCAATTGGGGCGCTGAAATGCGCTCGTGTATGCAATCTTCTCTGGACTTGAATAACGGCGGCAGGAGTAGATACGACTGGAATCCAAACTTTTTAATTCGGATTGTCGCCGGTAGGGTCGCGCATGCAGTGTTGCCACATCTGAAGGTTTCGCTTAAATCTACCCTCAGGGTTGGGTAGTGGCGCGTCATTCGAAGTTTTTTACATTAAATACTCAAGGTGATATAAAAGTGTGATATATACGTACCGAAAAGTCCAAATATTTATAAAACTATTCTCCAAACTGGGTGCACCGAGTTATTTAAAACTTTAACACGTGATTATGGAGGCTCCAAGGGAGAACGCATTGCCCGCGAAATTTCATTTTTCGAAAAGAGAAATTTTTCCTCGCTTCTTATCCAAGATAAATGCACATTTTTTGTCGAAAACTCAAATTTCACGAGCGGCGCGTTCTTCCTTAGAGCCTCCATAATCACGTGCTGAAGTTTCAAATGATTCGACGCACCCAGTTTGGCGAAAAGTTATATTTTGACGTTTTGTATATACAGAATGACCCTTTCGTATCACCTCAAAGGCCGAGTCATCTGGTACATTTATTTTCTAATCCAAAAATCGAGGTTACTGTACAAATTATTCTCATAATCAGGGTGAAAATATTCTAAATGGGCTGTTTAATGAATGACTAGTCTCGTCGAATGTTATTTCACAATAAAAAAGAAATGTAAAGTCGAAGAGGCGAGTCCCTCGATTCGCATGCTCACCTCCCTGAGAATTTCACTCACCCCTCCTCGCGTCTTCTCTTTTTCTTGTTGAGGAACACCCATGTTCGAATGTGATGTCTTTTACCGCCAGACTCCTTTTTTGGCTGGCCAAAGTTATGGCGGCCATGGCCAGAACGTGACCTGGAGAACATTCTCTCGACTTCGAAGCTCGGCAAACTCGCACCTCGGCAACCTCCTGGCTCCACTTAAGTTCTCTCAGAACCCTCTGGACTTATTTATTTCAAAACAAGTCCCTATGGGACTTTCGAAATCCCTGAAAACCTCCCTCGGTTTAGAAGATTCAGAATCCGAATTTTCGTCAGACCTCTCTTGCCGAGAAGATTGATAAAAAATAGACTCCTTCAACGAGGATCGGTTTTAAGTCTTAAACCGCTCCCGCCAGTCTTCACCTTTTTAAACTATCAAACTGTTCACATATGTAGGTATATACTTTTTTTAATAATTCCCCAGCCATTCGGAACTTATCGAACAGGAACCAGCCTTTGCGCTTATTCCTAGATTCTCCGAATGTCTTAAAAAAAATCCCATATATACGTTGAAGTGGAATTACATGAGACCAAGCAACAAGTAATAAGATTCTGAGATAATGCCAGTTATTAACTTGTGTCGTCTTTATCCCGTGTCCATTCAGTCTAATAATTTGATAAAAATTCAAAGCGTGACCTGTTGCCTCCACACCTTAGAGGGTGTCTTACAGGCAACTCAACGCGCTGATAAAATGCCAGTTATCGGTGTAATGGCATTGATTTTAAAATCTCCTCTCCGTGAGATACTTCGATAAGAATTCCACGTATGTCCTCTTCGATCGTGAGCACCTTCAGGTGCCTGAAACGCATTTGGAATTTTTTCGGCCCCCTCGGCATGGCGGGCGGAAAAAAAGGATGCATTCGTTTTGGCTAACAGTGCACTTATTGTCGGCCACGACAAAGGTCGTATTGTCTCCAGTGCCGGAGTCTTCGAACATAAAGAAAGAGACGGACT